ATTGCAACAAAAACCGAAAAAAAACGTAAAAAAAAACAAAACATTTTTAAAAAAATTTTAAAACATGATAAAATAAAATTGCCAAGCCGAAATCTGGAATGCTCTTTAGAATTAAAAAAAATGGATTTCTTACTGTGACATTGCAACACAATTAGCTTCATTTATTATACTTTATTTATCATACTATTGTTTTTCATATAGTGTATATTTCCTTAGTTTCCTTAGTTCATTGATTATTTTATTCAAATTTGCGCCGTATTCATTTCACATTCTCTTGTGTTTTTAAGCACCTAAATCAAAAAAAGAATGCAGATATATAATAAAAAAATGTGAACTTTTGGCAGAGCTCTTTTCAAGTAGTAACAAATTAAATATACACATACAAAGGTGTAATTTGCTGCTGAATTTGAACCGGCGACCTCATGTATGTAGATATATACTTTTATTCCCTTATAAAATAAAGACTGAAAAAAACTGGAGAAGCTGTTATCATTAACTTTTTAAATTAATTAAATTAGAGTTGAGCGTTTAGAGTTTGTTTCTCCAGAATGAGCAACATTTAGCCTAATCAACAACTGGCATAGTCCGTTTGTGGTCAAACTACAGTTATATAAATAGATTGTTTATTAAGCTCTGTTAATATTGCAAACTTGAAGACATAGTACATGTTATCTCTTAGTTAGAGTATACAGCTGCAGCGTCCTTCTGGGCCGTTCGTCGCGTCGTCGTCGACACAGGGCTGCGCGCATGCGCACAACACATGCCGTGGGCAGTTGTTGTTGTTGTTGCGGTTGCTGCTGTTGTTGTCGCTTTTGTTGTTGCTGCTTTTGTTGTGCGCTGCCTTTGCCACTGCTGCAATAAACGTCAAAATGCGGCCCATTGCTGTCCATTTCATCAACGTGTGAAATAAATCACTCAAAGTGCTGCAGATCCATTAAGGGCACCAGCAATGAGCAGAGCAGAGCCCGTCGTCGCTGTCGCCGTCGCCGTTGCCGCCGCCGTCGCAGTCGCTGCTGACGCGCACCCGTCGCGTCGCATCGCGTCGCAACGCGTCGCGTTTTGTGGTAAATACATTTTTAGCATTTTGTCTGCTGATACCTTTGGGTGTTGTACAAGACGGCAACTGCTGCAACAATAAAGACGCAAGCACAGGCTGCATGCCACTGGCCACGCTCAGCTTTGCCTTGTTTTTTAGTTTTTTCTTTTTTATATTTTGTATTTTTTCATTTTCCTTTTTACTGCTGCTGCTGTTGGCCATGTCCGCATCCATTGGCCCATTGCATGTTGTTCACCTTTTGCAATTTCATTTCATGTTTGCAACTGCAACTGGCTCGGCCTGTGTCTGGTTTTATGATGATTTCTGGCGTGCTACGCGACTTGGGCACATGCAAAATTCCAAATTACATTTCATTGCTTAAATTCAATTAACGGTAAGGTAAGAAATGCGAAATGCTATCAAAAATAACAACAACAACAACAAAAATAACAAGAGCCTGCTGTTGCGCTTTCGTTCTCAACTGCAATAGCAGCAGCTGAGGCTGAGCACAGTTGGCCATTAACTCAGCCCAATTCAACCCAACTACAAGTCAAGGTAAGCGCAATCAACAAACAAGTAGCCGCCCGGCGAGTAGGTAAACAGAAAGTTGATTGAAAGTTTCAGCAAAGTGCAGCTGGAAAATGAAACCCAGCTAAGTGAGATACAACAGCAAAACGAGAGTGAGATGATGTCTGTGTAGGAGCCTGACGAGGCTGACAGATCTAGCTAGAGCAAATAAACTAACAGATTAAATGTAAAACAAGTTAGCAAAAGTCATAACTTGTTCGCATATGCTACGAGCATAAGTGATATATGTTGGTGAAATTAATTAATGCGCAACAACTAGATTATGTTGAGGCATACGAAACATTATAAACATACATTTAAGAATAACCCGATAAATTGTAAGTAAAAGCAAATGAATATAATTTGTTTCTAAATATAAAGGTATAATTTTTACAATTTATTTTAGATTATATAAAATAAATGAATTTCTATTTGGATATTGTACATGAAAAAGATTATGTCTTTATTTTTATAAAGAACCCATCCTTAAATTTTCTTAAATATTTTGCAAAGTTTGTCAATAAACAGTACACTATATAAAATACTTTAAGCCCCCAAAAATTATGCTATATTAATTTGTAGACTTTAAAAAAATGTTCAAATTTAATTTAATTTCTGATGTTTTTCTTATACTCATTGAATTAATGGGGATTCTACTATACACACACACACACAAACACATTTGCATTAAATTTCCCGCAAGGCTGCAATTACTAACAGAATTCAAGAATTTCGCTATTCATTAGGCATAGAAATCCCCTGAGGGGGCGGCGACAAAAATATTTTTGAGCTGTTGTTGCGCAATTTGGAGACATTTTGCAATATTGTAGAAGCATTGTCATTAAGTGTAAATAATTGCCATAATTTGCACAGAACAAAACGCAATTATAATGCAGTTATTGAGGCATATAAATCTTATAGGAATTCTTTCTACTTAATTAGTTTTAATGTCCCCCGCACAAACAAAAGGGCATAACTAACAATTAAGCTCGCATTGCTCAACCACAAAATACATATGCATATATGTATGCATATATATTTGTGTCTTGAAATTTATATACAGACATGTATTTGTAAGCAAGTATGGCGCATAAATCTTAATTACGCTTCGTCGAGCGTAAATCATCATCAGCCGCAGAGTTTGCTGGCAAAATTGATTCATGCACAGCAATTTCGCCAGAAAACTCTTCGAGGGAATCTTCTTTTACTGACTCCCAACTAACTTTGACAATTTGGCGGCATTTTCTTCTTCCTCTGTGGTTTTTTTTTTTTGCATATTTTTTATGACCCACAGACTGTGTGACGACTCTGAGCTTTGGGGATATTTAACCCATCAAGTGGCATGGAATTTCTTTTACAGTCCCATTCAAAATATGCCTCATTCCATTAGCATTTTATGGCTGATAATTGTTGACAGTAAATCAAATGCGAAACTGGAAGTGTACACACACGGAAAAAACTAATAAGGAAGGCAAATGAGGTGAGATAATGCATAGAAGTGGGGTAAAGAAAACAAATAAACGATTTATGGCTGTAGCGGAATGTACAAGTAGAATAAAGGAGAAATAAAGTAGATGGAAAGGAAATGCTAGCAAACCTTATTTATTATTAGCGATATGCTAGCTGGAGTTCTGCAAACGACGAGCAGGTGTTAACAAAGCGCACATGTTGCTAGTGAAACGTTCACAAATGCGACGCAAAGAGGAATTGGAAAAGAAGGCACAGTTGCATTTGATACGTAAGTTACGCTAACGAATGCGGATAATAATCCTAAAGAAGAATTAAAAAATTAAGCATAGTCGATGTATGCATAAGACGTTTACGAATGTAGCATAAAAGAATGCTGCTAAGTTGTTTTGCGTGTTTATTTAAAATTACTTTGGTAGTTTTCCTTTAGGATTCCGTTGAGTGGGTATGGTTCTTTTTTTTTTAAATACAAATTCCCATGCTTTTTCCACTAATTTTTATTATATTTTTTTTTGCCGTATAATAGGCTGTATTTAAGGCAAAATATCCGAATTGCTGGGCTCCTAATGGGTTAAGTCATCAGCTTTTGTCTGAGTTGGTCCAATTGGCAGTCGTTTAATGTCAAAAAGTTCAGTGCAGTTGGCTTTATTATTATTTAGTTTTTTTTTATTTTTATGGCGCTGACAATTTGCAATCAGCCTCGTATGCAGGCAATTCAAAACGAAAAAATTTTTACAAGTTGTAAAGATTAAAAGTCCATTAGGCGTGCCGCAGCAGCCGCACGTAGAACTTGTTTAGATAGAGCAACAGAGAGAAAGAGAGAGTAGGGGAGAGAAGGAGCGGGGCGCATAGCTTGCAGCAGTCAAACCTCACTGGCAGCATCCACAAAAAAAAAAAAAAACTAAAAATAAAAATAAAAAGTAAAATAAAAGGAATCTTTGAACATGGCAGCGCAGCGATTTAAATGCGCGCAATGCAATCACTCAAATTGGCCAAAGCGCCGGAACGTGCAGATGGCAACCGCACGAATGGCTGAATTACATGAAATATTTTAATCCAAAAGATGCAGTTAAGTGCATCCATCAGCGTGTATTTAGTATTTAATAAATACGGAAGCGAGAACACGACTCGAACACGACGACGACGACGACGGCGACGCCGACCACAGCCAACGACTGCCTTTTTGACGCATGCGAACAGACAGTCCTTGGCAATCCAGCATACACTCTGCGCTGCCAAAGAGGTATTTTAATTTATTTAAATTTTCTAGCCGCTCATATTACCAACTGCAATTTAGAGACAGCCAGCCAGTTCGGTTGGACAGACATCCTTTTAGGTCTTTGGTCTTGGTCCAGGCGCGCACACGACTTTGAGCTGCTTTGGCAAGCCCGTTTGCGACTTTGGCCAAGAAAAGTGAACATCCATTAGTTGTGCTAATGATGCGCAACCCACTTTGCCGCGTTCCACACCAGCCAACAGCTAGCAGCAGCAGCACCTTCTTAACTTGCCTCTTACACACTGCTGTGTCCTGTCCCTCTTCTTCTATCCTGTGCTCTCTTTCCTGTCCTGGGCGTGTGGATTTAGTTTGCTATTTTGAAACGCATTTGGCTCGCTGGTTAGTTAGTTTTAGCCATAGCTGCACTTTTCCCTGTGTTTGTGTGTGTGTGTGTGTGTTAGTGGCTAATGCACAGTCAAAGTGGCTAAAACGAGACACGCACTCATGAGCACACTGAGAAAAAAGATTTATAATTTTTGCTGCTTGTCACAGCGCAATAATGTGTCTAATTAAATTAAATTAAATTAAAATCTGAGAATCTTACAGGAAAACCATTTTTCAAAATATATGCGTTGTTCTTTTTTTGCCATGATTAACTATTCCATATATATTAAATTTTTCAAAAACATTTTACAATTTTTTTTATTTATTAATTCAATAGACATGAAATTTATCTAGAGATAAACCTGTAAATATATACCATACAATTATGAATATTTCCCTCTTTAAATCTCTGCTTGTCATACTTACCATCAATTGATTCAAATACAATTCATAAGGTATATGTCCGCTTATAGGATCTATGGCTACCGGCCACATTTCATCCATTTCCTCTTGGGTGAATGGCTCCCCTTCCTCCATCATCAGCTTGCCAAAGTTCTCTTTGGTCAGATAGCCCTTGTTCTCAAAATCCAATGTTTTGAAAGCCTCAAGAATTTTCTCTGGCGGCGCTGGCTCCATTCTAATAATTTCTCAATTTTTAATTACTGGATAAATATATATTCTTATTGGGAAACAACTCACTTGCGTTCCATGAGCAACTGGGAGACATGTGGCAAGAATTTGGTCAAATGCACCACTCCGCTTGTCTCCTCCGTTTCGGTGGCCGATATTACCTCATTGACCTCCTCTTCGGTGGGCACACAGCCCAACAATCTCAGAACTGTGCCCACCTCACGCACATCGATCAGTTTTTCGCCATGATGATCGAATACACAAAATGCATCCGAAATGCGTTTCTCCAAATCGTTGTTGACTACAAATTTTGGTCCGTTTTTTTTAATACAGTTTTAAAGATATTAAAAAGCGCACTTACAATCCAAATCCATTGTTAGAAATTCGCAGACTGAAAATAATTTCTCAAATTTTTGTTGAATCAATATTACGGTGCGAAGGAGAAAACTGTATTTGAGGTTGCTAGGTGATTTTTGAGAGAGTAGTGGAGAGGCAGAGTGGAGGAGGGGAGGACTCCGAGAGAGTTTTAGAGCGACATATAAAGTGAAAGTGAAGGAGAAAGAATACGAATGAGAAAGAGTTAGAGTAATAGATAGAGAATTAGAGAAAGAGAGAATTGGAGTTAGAAAGAGGTAGAATAACAGTGAAAGATAGAGTTGGAGAGAGAGTGAGAAGAGTGAGAATTAGAGTAAGTAAAAGAGTTAGGGTAAGAGAGTAGAAGTGTTATAGTGACAGAAAGCAGGAGAGTTAGAGGCAGAGCTGGTGTGTAGGAGAAAGAGGGAGAGAGCTAGCAAGAAAACGGGAGAGAGAGCTGGAGTTGTAGAGTGAGAGATAATTTGTGTGTATGAGAGACAATATAAATGAGAGAGTCTATGAGTTACAGATAGATAGCGGATAAGAGGGAACGAGTTCGAGATAGAGAAAGAGACCGAGAGATAGCGAAAGAATTAGACGGAGAAATAGGAAAGTTAAGACTGAACGAAAGTAGTAATTATAGTAAGAGACTGTTGTACAATATTAGAGAGTATTGAGAATAAGTAGGAGAGTTGGAGTAAGACAAAGTTAGTCTGTAGGAGTGAGAGTGAAAGAGTGTGCAAAAGAGAAAGAGAGAGATAGAAAGTGACAGTGTCGAACTATTAATCTATCAGAGAGCAAACATATAAGTCAAAAAGAATACTTTTTGCGATTTCATGTTGCAATAATACATTTATCTACTTTATTCTTCGGTTATTAAAACAAAACTAAAAAACCATTTTAATGTTTATTATATTGCATAACTGTTCTATAAACATTCCACAACCATTTGCAACGAATACCAAAAGAAGCTCTTTACCGTTTCAAACCGTATCAACGGGCATGGAATACGGAAGTATGGGAACCCTAACCGGGCCATAATCGTCAACTAGAGCCGAGCAACAAGTGCATTTTGGAGTTAGCTCACTTTAATGGAAATTACAGCAAATTTTACTAAGAAACGTGACGTGGGGGGTAGAGGACTTGGCTGGACTCAAAGAGCGTATGCCACGCATTGGATTCGATTAAAAAAAATAGTTGCAAAGAGCTGCAGCAGCAGCAACAGCAACAACTACTTCATTCACGCTAATGCGTGTCGTGTACAACACGCTTCAAGCCACTTGAGCTGTGCGCACTTGCGTCCAAGTTCTTGCAGCAACACGAGCACACACACATACACAGTTGCGTATTGGCGGGGCCATCTAGTACGGTTGGCTTTGGCTTTGGCCATGGCTACTGCCATAAACACTAAAAGTGTTCGTCATTTGCTGTTCCAGATCCAATTAACCATTTTGATGCATTTGCCTCCATTAAGTTTTTCTCTGTCTCTCCCTCGTTCGCTCGCTCGCTCTCCTTCTGCTGCTCTCTCGCTCTGTTGTAGACCCTTTTGGCTCAGGCCTTGGACGCTGTTGCCTGCCTTTTGCAATTTCGCTGCCAGACTTACAACGTGATCGGAAGTTTGTCTTAGCCATCGTCGACGACGTGTCCGTGACTCCAAACTGCCTGAGTGCTCGTGTTGCAGTTGCAGTTGTTGTTGTTGTCTAGTGTTGTTGTTGCCTTGGCAAAGTACTTTGTAAATGTTGGCATGATTTAAGCCTAGCTCTTAGTCTCTTTATTCTGACATTTGCTCTAAGTTTGTCTATTAGGCATGCGATTAAAATTTAAATTGAAGTCGAACAGCCACAGCCGGGACTTGCTTTCAGTCCCGCCTCCTGTGTCATTTTTTTTTTTCCTGTTGCCGCCCAGTTTTCATTCGCCTCACAACACTTCCGCTCGCCATCAGCCATCAGCTTGTGCTATTAGCATCTCGAGCGCATTTTGTGTTCATCTGTCAATTTCGACACCTGCCACAGACAGGACGGCAAGTTGTCAGAGCCTTTCGTCCGCTTCCTGTGGGGTGCCACATTTGCTCGTCTGCATGGTTGAAACTGATTTCATTATGGCTATTTAAGGGCAGGAATATCATTATTTTTAACGCTTTGCAGCTTTATAATTTCCGTGACAACATGTTGCCGCTGCTCCACAATATTGATTATATAATTAATTAAAATTGTTTAATTAAAGTTTCAAAGTATAAATCAATTTTTTTTTCTTTTAAATACATGCATTTAAATGTATGGTAATTGAATGCGACTAAACGAATGCTGAATTTTTGCTTATATAATATAATAATAAAACTAATAAAAAAAATACATTCTTTCGCCTTCTAATTCTGCTTCTCAAATTTATCGATTTTAAATTTTGCATTGAGAATCGGTCAAACTAAACCGAATGTAATCCGCAATAAAGTTTGTTATGCTTTATTCAAATGTTGCTTTTCATATTTTTCTATCTCTATATATAAAACTGTTTGTCCTGACTGCCTTCTAATTCTGCTTCTCAAATTTATCGATTTTAAATTTTGCATTGAGAATCGGTCAAACTAAACCGAATGTAATCCGCAATAAAGTTTGTTATGCTTTATTCAAATGTTGCTTTTCATATTTTTCTATCTCTATATATAAAACTGTTTGTCCTGACTGACTGACTGACTGACTGATTGGTGATCAACGCACAGCCCAAATCGTAAGAGCTAGGAAGCTGAAATTTTCACTGTAGTTACCTTATGTAATGTAGGTGCACGTTAAGACGGGGTTTCGGGAAATTCCACCTGCAAGTGTGGAAAAATCGCGAAAAACGTTTGTATGTAACTTTTTTGTTTACCATCCGATCGGCCTCAAATTTATTTTCAAAGGTCTTTGTTCAAATTCATTTGAGGGGTGTTTCGCACTTTTTGGAAAATGCATCCCTCCTTGGTGGAAATAGAGGTCAAAGATTTGGTGGGTGACGTTTCGCGCTCAAATTCATTTCCAGTGATCTATATGAAAAATCATTTGAGACGTGTTTCTCACTTTTCGCAGAATTCAAACTTCTTCGGGGGGAATGCGATTTAAAGATTTTTTGGGCGGCGTTTTAAGTTGTGTCCGATTTGCTTCAAACTTATTTTTAAAGCTCTTCATAAGAACTTAATAAGTACGTATTTCAGCGATTTGGAACATTCCACCCGCAACAGTGGTAAATTGGCGGAAAAAGGTTGTAAGAAAGTTTTTTGTTTACCATCCGATCGGCCCCAAATTCATATTTAAAGATCTATGTTTAAATTCATTTAAGAGGTGTTTCACACTTTTTGAAAAATCCATTCCTCCTTGGTGGAAATGGAGGTCAAAGATTTGGTGGGTGACGTTTCGCATTCAAATTCATTTCCAGAGATCTATTAGAAAAATCATTTGAGACGTGTTTCACACTTTTCGCAGAATTCAAACTTCTTCGTGGGGAATGCGATTTAAAGATTTTTTGTGCGAAGTTTTAAGCTGTGTCCGATTTGCTTCAAACTTATTTTCAAAGCTCTCAATAAGAACTTAATGAATACGTATTTTGACGAATTGGAAAATTCCACCCGCAACAGTGGTAAATTGGCGGAAAACGGTTGCATGAAAGTTTTTTGTTTACCATCCGATCGGCCCCAAACTCATTTTCAAAGATCTATATTCAAATTCATTTGAGGGGTGTTTCACACTTTTTGAAAAATCCATCCCTCCTTGGTGCAAGAAGATTTGGTGGATGACGTTTTGCGTTCAAATTTATTTCCAAAGATCTATAAGAAAAATCATTTGAGACGTGTTTCACATTTTTCGCAAAATCTAAACTCCTTCGGTGGAAAATGCATTTCAACGTTTTTTTGGTGAATTTTAAGTTTGATTGATTCCCGTCCGATCAGTTTTAAAATCATTTTCAACATTGATTTTATAACATACGTGCCACTGGCAAGGCCGGGTTATACCCGCTAGTATTTTATATTCGATTATAAATTTCGATTAAGATAAAATCAAAGTCCCTGACCAATATAACAAATACATATCAGCGTTTGCGAACATTCTAATAAATGTAAAGAACTAGACTATATTTCGTACTTTTTGTACAAAGAGCAATAGTCAATAATAATAAAACCAAAAAAAATCTACATTCATATTTGCATATGCTCATTTTTATATCAAAGACCAGTTCCATTCAAATCATTTGCCCTTTTGCAACAGATACAAAAAATATTTTTCCATTAATATACAATTATTATTACGTTTTTTTTAATTGCGTTACAATTCGCTTTGTGCGAGTTCGTGTGAGTGTGTGTGTGTGTGTGTAGATTGTGGTAATTAAATGGAATTTAATAAACATAAACATGCAAATAATGAGCGCTACCTTTCACAGCAGCCAAAATGGAAAAACTGTTTGAAAGACCTGGCCCAGAAAACCTTTTGTTGAATTAATTAGAGTAAAAATGCGGCTGCCAGACAAACAGATAAACAGCAGCCGCAGCAGCAGCAGCAACAGCAGCAGATTGTAAACGTCTTGGTTAAAAACAGAATTCAATTCAAAGGCAAATGATATGAAAGAATTGATTAATAATCATAGCGAAAACCACAAAAGAGCTGCCTCATGAATGAGCCACCAAAACTGTGGCACAGATTGTGACTGTGGCTTAGACGGAGACGGAGACGATGGCGGTGGCGGTGGCGGCTACTGGCCAAAAAAGCGCTGACGCCATGCCCGACATGCGGACTCTCGCTTCAGGTCTCAGCTTCAGCTCCAGCTTTAGCCAAGGCCAATTGCTTGGCCGCAATTGTAAGCCTGGGCGCAGCAGCAACACATGCTACAGCTGCTGCTGCTTGTTGTTGTTGTTGCCTCTGCTGCCGTGCTCCACATTCTCTGACGACTGGCGTCCAGTCATGTTTTGTTGGCACTGGGCAGCCGAGCCGACTCGACTTGACTTTGATTCAATTTCCATATGAAAACATCGATTTGCGTTTGCTCTCTCTGCCCTGCG